CATTCTCAAGTAAAAGATGTTGGAATAATCATGTCAATAGAGAGAATTTATAGCAATCCTTCCACTAGCGAATAATATATTTCTACCTTTGCTGATTTGCTTCTATGAGTATAAATATTGATGAGATCATCAATATGAATGGACATTTTATTGCACGTTTTATGCCTCAGGCTGTTTTAGTTGTGGTTTAATGTACACATGAACCTGTTCGTAAGGACACATCATGATGACTGAATTTACATTTTGTTTTCTTGTTGATCAGATTCTTCAAGCATAAAAGTACTGTAATTGTCTTGAGAATATTTTATGAAGGTGAGAAATACACAATTATCATGGAATTTTGACGAGCGACTCCGAAAGTTCTTCAACCAAAGTTTATTCATAGATAAAATGCGAATAACTGCTAAAACATTTTTACTTGAAATTCTAGGAAAAACTAGGTATCAATATTACTAGACTTTTTAAAACATTCAACACATACAAGATTATCCTTCAGCATATATTAGGTTCGTTAGACCATTCATTTCTCAACCTCCTAAGATAAAGCCGAAATTCTTCTGGAAATCTAATAATGTATGAAAAACAATCGCTTTGACTAAAAGCTGTGTAGTCTTCAAATGATCATGATATGTAGATCTGACTGTCTCACACTTCTTGACGCAATTACCTGGTGTCATTCGATCTTTGATGTCATTTAATTTTTGCTGCCATTTCATATATTCATCGTAGTCATTTTGCTGAGAGGCAATCTCAGCAAGCCCTTTATATGCCGTGAGAAGTAAAGGATCATTATCCGAAAGTTCATTTATGCAACGAATATAGTACTTTTTCGCCAGATCGAATTTGCCCATCTTCGATAGGATCTTGCCCCATGTACATAGATTCGTGGGTCCAATGCCATTTTGCTTCTTCATATATTCAAAAACTTCCTTCAAATTGTGATCGTCATCACCACATAGGGACATATGAATAATCCAGACTTGAGCGTCAGCACAATTGATGGATTCAACGCGAAAAATCGAGCCAAGCATAAACAATACCTCTGACTCGACAGCGAAATGACTAAGTTCGCTAATGTCAGCAAAAGGTTTCGTTGTGACTACTTTAGGATCAGCATCGATCTTGAATAAAACTCGTTCTAAATTAATCTGCTGACCTTTTTCACCCATATACATGTCAGCTACTTCACGATCGGTAGTAGTGGAAAGAAACGAATTTAGAGAAACGAGTTGGCCCATTTTCTGTCGGAGATAATCTATCTCATCGGTCGACATCCACTGGCTTCGATAAACTTGAATAGGGAACATTGATTGATAATGTTGTAATTGGCGATGCATATCAGAAATGTACGAACGATACAAGAACATCATGTCAATAGTCTGCTTACGTAGAGCTTCGTTGAGAGTCTTATAGAAGAATGACTCACGAGTATACCACCACAAAGCCTTTTCAGGTGAATAATCCTTTTCGAATTCATCAAGACGCTCGAGCTCGACACGGTCTTCTTCGTATTCTTTCTTGCAACAATCGATTAGTTCATTTTTATCCATCTCATTGGATTTTAATCGAAGAAGACAATCGATAAGTAGTTGGGAAAAAACAAATTGACCATTGATACTTGTTGTTGATTTTCCTGCATCATTAATTGCAGTGAACATATTGAAATACACTGGTTCGTGAATTCTTCTTCGACTTGCATAATCTTCATTGATTCGAGATGCCAGCGTTTCGAGGTCAGTCTTAACACTCTTCAACTAAAACAATGATACAACATCATTGAAATCTCTCAGAACAAACTTACTTTAGGGAAATCGCGACCCCATTTTACATCGCTCTCTTTGTCCGCAGAATTCATATAAATTGTTGAAACTTGTCGAAGTTGATGAATGGAAGGCACTACTTGCCGATCCAACTGACCGCTAACAAGGCGTACTAATTGATCGTCTTTTGATGTTTGCTCTATATAGTTTCTGCACTCCTCTGCATCACCAAATTTCTTGATATGATTAATAATTGTACGCAGTTTTTCTCGCCAATTTTGATTCCTGTGAGCTTCAGCATCGGTGCCAGGCCTGATAGGACTGGATGTTTCAGGATGATTGTCTTCTCTGTTGGGAAAATAATTGTCATCGGGAGGAGCATTTATGGGCATCTTGGTAGAAATAATGAAATAGTAACTCTCCTAAAAGATATCTCTATAATATATGCATTGAACACAGTGTGTTCTGAGGGTGAAGGTGGATGAAAGAATTACTTTATCTTTCACAGTCATCCGCCCTCATCCTCATAATAAATGAGATAAGTTTGAAATATTTAATATTGTTATGGAATTTGGGTGCATGTCTATAGCTGTCGCACATGAACGCTACTTTTTTTGTGAAACACGATCTGAAAGGAGTGTTGAAGTGTTTAGGAGTAGAAATTTGCATCCCCCCTCCCTCTACAGACCGTGACATACAAGCTCCAGGAGTCATCATAGATTGTGAAAGAAGAGTTCAAGGAACTATCAGAGATAATACATAACTAACACATGATTGGAGTATATTATGGAGTATTATCCTGTTTCAGCTCTATAATGTAAAGTAAGCCGCGATGAAGAAATGCACACCAATATGCATAAAAAAGAACAATTTTTATAAGATTGGCAACAGCAGGTACATCGTGTTTCACGTTTTCAATCCCACAAGGGATTACGCTAACAGCTTCTGTACAGTGATTCTAGTAAATCTATCAGACATTCGTGGAACAAATAAATAGTCGTCCTATAACGCGTTCCACAGACTTTGGATATCTATTCTCTAAAGTTGTTTCGCTCAAAAGAATGCCATAAGACGATATGCAAGTACGATTAATATCATCCTTTGCGATTAGGCTGTCTAGAAGGAATCGGGTAAAGAGAAGAGAACTACGACACCAGGAATCAAACATGTTTAGGATGATTTTCACTTTCTAGAATATATAAGAATTGATGGACAGCCAAAAAAATAGTTTAGATGAGTTTCAAATGAGTATATTTTATCGTTCAATCAAGAACAGCAAGATAATAAACAATGGAATTAGAATACTAATGGAAAAATCGATATTTTGTAAAAATCAGGGCAAATAAATATACATTATTATTGAAGTTTATAATGAGAAGTTACTCACACGATTCAAACAAATCAATTTTGATCTAAAACAGAAAATTTGATTCAAAAACTCACAAGCAGAGAGTATTTGTTTTTTCTATTTTAAATAACAAAGTCAACGATTGGAATCATAGATAGAAAAATAGAGAGGAAAAGATTAGACAACAGATCAGAAAGTGTAAACATATGGAGATATAACCCTTAAAAGCCGAATGTCCCTTCCAAGGGACATTTGAAAAAATGCTACAGGAGACGTAAAAAAATCGTTGAGGCATGGACCAATATTTTTTTGGACTTTGATGACCTAATAGAGTATAGAGTGAAAAAGAAATTTCTTAAAATCGACTGTCAGGGGACGCAGCAGGTTTTGGAAAATGCATGAATTTTTTAAATGCAATTTTGTATTTTGCAATGTATGTCTTTTCGTAAATATAGCGTGAATTAGCGTGAATTTTGGCTTTTCTGAGAGGCACAAAGGCAAACTACCGAATGAAACTGTTCCCTAAATTTTTAAGTTACCTGTTGATACATAGTGATAGCATGAAGAAAATGTCCCTTGGAAGGGACATTCGGTCTTAACGGGCCGAAAAGTTTGAGCGAGACTTACATTGAAACCGAGAGTGTGTAAATTTTGAAAAATTGTAAAATATTGCTAGAATTAGTTTCTTGAGTAATAAGAAACATATAAATAGAGGTATTTTAAAGAAAAAATTGCTTTTACATAAATTGATAACAGTGAAAAATTTTGGACCGTTACGACCGAATGTCCCTTCCAAGGGACATTTTATATCTCCGTAAGAAAAAATTTTTTTTTTGTTTTTATTATCAATGATTCTTATTGAGATACTACACCTTCTGTTTTACCGAATAATTTGTTCAAATTGCGACGATAAGGCCTTCCGGCTTTTAAGGGATAATTAAATTACTATATCATCTTATGTGTGACTATGCTAACGATAGTTTGAACACCTAATGGAGCAAATCAGTGAAAAGAAAAATAAGGATAAAATAATAAATGAGCTCGGAAAAAAGAGATATTTGAGCTCGGTGTGTTTAATTGGCTTTAAAATGAGAGAAATGAGCTCAGTTGTAATAAAATTATATTTTTTTATGTAAATGAAAGTTTTGAGCTCGGAAATTAATTTATACTCTGAAAAGATACAAATGAGCTCGGTGAATTTTATTTTTGTTGTTAAAAAGAGAGAAATGAGCTCGGTAATTAATTTATGAAAATTAATTAATGATTTTGTCAGTGGCAAAGTATATCTAATAAGAAAAAAATAGTTCAAGAACAAAAAAAAGTGCTAGGTTACAATAGATTTTTACTAATATTCAGTCTTTTGTTAAAGCTAATTTAACTTTCTTTGGACGGCGTTTTCCCCTTCTTATCCCAAGTTATTGTGGAATTTTAAGATGGCCCCACATGATTAATAAACCCAAAGAATGAATGCAAGAATATTCTTTGAGACCATATTTACATGAACAAAATAATGGTGGAGTTAAATGAGAAAAATCAAGTAAACGCGCAGAATTTAACCAGTCGATAAATTCATCGTAAGAATTCCAAGATATACTACGATAAAGTTGTACCCATAATAATGTATCCATTTTTGGTTCAGAAGAAGGTACAACGTAACTAGCTGCGCCTAAATGTAACACTTTTGTTCGATCGAGTTTTTGTAACCATTTATATGCCCTAGCTGCTAAATCATCATTAAATTCGATTTGAAAAAAGAACTCATCAATTTATACAAATTATTGAATACTAGTAAAAATCTATTGTAACCTAGCACTTTTTTTTTGTTCTTGAACTATTTATTTCTTATTAAATATACTTTGCCACTGACAAAATCATTAATTAATTTTTATAAATTAATTTCCGAGCTCAAAACTTTCATTTACATAAAAAAATATAATTTTATTACAACCGAGCTCATTTCTCTCATTTGAAAGCCAATTAAACACATCGAGCTCCAATATCTCTTTTTTCCGAGCCCATTTAATTTCGCGTCCTATCTGATATTATTCTTCAATTATGTTGTTGTTTAAAGATCAAAGAATTGCTATTTGTTGACTAAAATATACTATGGTACTTTTTTCTCTCATAGTTAGACCTTTTCCTACTCAATATCTCGAGAAAATACCAACTCGTGTCAAACGGACATTAGGGATAGAGAACGGACATGAAAGAAAATAACATTGAAGAAACGCATATATAACAAATGCGAAGCCTAAATAGTATACAATACAGAACTAGAACAGAGAAGACATTATAATACAGAACAGAAATAGAGAGAGAGAGAGAACGGTAATGGATGATATACTCATGACTATAACATTATACTTGGCAATAGCCTTGTAAGAAAAAAAATAGTAGTGGAAATAACCAAAGAGACAGTTATCAGGGCAAATATTGCGGAAGTTGTTATTGTTTCTTTTTTGTCTCTTTCTTGCATGTATAGAGGTGCTATTTATGAAGCTTCTGAATATATAATTAAACAAGTCATTGCTTATAGCCAAAATGATGATAGCATTTGATGGTGATACTCCTCAACCACGTATATTTAAGTACTTCTCAGCTTTTGACCGATACAACAGTGGCAACTATTTTTCCTTTTTTCGTTGTGAAGGTCAGTTCATCTGTCCTTCAAAATAGAATGAGACACTCGCCACATAATATCTGAAGCAGAGTGAATTTTGTGAACAGCATCGTCTCACACAATAGTCGAAAGGAAAAACATGAGAAAAAAAGTCATGAGTATTTTTTTTGCCTTTATGCGACTGACCTTTTGTCGTCTAGATGAACTAACCATAAAAATGATTATTGTTATACATGGTTATTATATCAGAGTAAGCAACGAGTAAGCCTTCAGTATGATTTTATTTAAGAGGGATACATATTTTAGGAGAAAATAGCTATATACGTTGCAAATAAGGAGGAAAACTAATTTTGGGAAAAAAATAACTAATTCTTCTTGACGAAGAGAGGGACAGCTAGTTTTAGGAGAAAGTGTCAATTATTTTTCTCGAAGATACTAGATAAGCTTTTCTTCGGAGAGAAGATAGTTGATTCTCATTAGGAAGTAATAGACATTTTTCTTTTTATCAGCTTTATTTATGTGTGTCATGTAAACTAGAAACAGGTCGTAGCAAACCCACTATCGAATTTTCATTAGGAGAAAAATTAGAAGGGTGAAACGTCTTTCCTGATTGAGAGGTCTAGTGATGGGTAGTATTCGAATGACTACAATAAACGATGGTTTTCCTTTTTCAATCGTAAGGAAACGAAGTCCAACAAGATTATGATTCTAATAATGATTACTCTTAAAAAGCTGATG